GCCGGGCTATGTCCTGACAGCAAAAGCCTGGCATGGAGGCGGACTCGCCAAGACGGATAAGCTCACGAAACAGACGCTGCCACACTCGAAACAAAACGCCTTTTTCTGAGCGGCAAGATCTCACGTCAAACCCAACTGGGCAGACGAAACGGGGAAGCGATCAGGACCGCCAGCATTGCCGCTGGGCAGCGTCCTGGGGGCAAACGCCTCGCTCGGGGGCAAAAGCGCTAGGGCGGATCACGATCCGCCATTCAGCGTTTCGTTGCGTCCTTGCGCGCGGATGCTGAACCAGCGCGCACACCGCAGGCGGATCGGGCGCAGTGGCAAGCGCCCAATCCAGCGGACGGCCCTTGCCCCAGGCCGACCCCGGGCAAGGGCATGTTTAGGACCCATGAGACCCGCCCGCGAAAGCAAGGACCACCGAACGGGTGCCAAGCGCCCGCTCCCAATTTTTGATTCGCGGGTCGAGAGCGCACCTCTTCCGGTCGAAGCTAAGCGGGCCGCGCAGAGCTTGAATTACGCAGAGAAGGGGGGAGGAGAAGGGGGGCGCAGCCTCAGAACGAGGCCGGGAGGAGGCAAGCCAAACGCCCGCTCCCAGTCGCACACCCCGCGCCAGAGCCAAGTTGGCAAATACAACATGCGGCTGGCGCGCAGGACTCCCCGCGCTGCCGCTGGGCCGCGCCCCGGAGGCGAGCGCGCCCCGCACGGGGGCGGAGACGCCAAAGCAGATGAGCTCACGAATCCAAAAACTACCGCGCCAATGTCTAGGGGAACAAAAAGTGGCATAAACAAAAAAATTCGGAGGTCCGCGCGGATTTCTCGGATCGGCGCTGGGGCCCCCTGGCGGCGCCTCCGGCGCCGCTCCTGGCGCGCTCCGCGCGCCAGGGAGGGGGGTCCAGCGCCGATCCCAGAAATCCGCGCGGACCTCCGAGTTTTTATGTTTATGTCACTTTTTGTTCCCCTAATGTCGGCACGCCCGTTTCTGATCGCACGCATCGCCAAAAGCCAACTGGACTCGCGTGCACGCGGCAAGTGCTGCACAACACTCAAGAAGCATCGCACCAAACGAAATGCGCGAACCAGCTGGCACGGCATGCCTGTCATTCGCTGCGGCAGGAAAACGCTCGCCACACGTGCCAGGCCGGCGGAGGCCCGCCCCCGCACAGCCGCATCGAGGCGCTGCCCTGCGAAGGCATGGGCTTCCTGCAGATCCCAAAGGTGACCTGAGCCGCAAGGCGGGCATCAACGCCCTCCCACCCCCCTCAAAAAAAATACCCAGCTTAGCGATTGTCCGCGCAAGGGGGTCTAGACACCCAAAGGAGGGGTCAACGCGTAAGGGCCAACGCCCCGGCATGAGGGATCGACGCGTGACGGTCCAAGGCCCCGACATGAGGGATACACGGCGCGAAGGGCATGTGCCCCAACATGGACGCACAACGCGCGAAGGGGCCATGCCCCATCATGGGGACGCGCATCGCACGAAGGGCCAACGCCCCAGCACGAGAAGAAACACCGTCTCGGGGTAAAGAAAGAACGCGCTTGAGGAAACTAAGGCGGAGATGCCAAAACGAACTGGAAGACAATGCCCGGCATTCGCCGCCACCGGAGAACACTCTTCAAATGTGCGAATATGAGGAAGGACCGACCCTGCGCAGCAGCGCGCTTCTTGACGCGACGAGTGAGTAGCTGCTGGCTCGATAGGGCGGTTCTCGATTGGGATTGGGAAAACCACCGACTTGAAAATAGGCTTGCCTGTGTCGCCCCGGCGTACCTTTTCCTGCACTTCGACTTCGGCACCGCCTGAACCCAGGGCTTCGCCCTCTCCTGGACTTGACGTGAGGCCCCGCCTTCTTTTGCTCCCCCCTCTGCTAACTAAAGCTGTGCGCGGCCCGCTTAGCTTCTATCGGAAGAGGCTCGCTCTCGACCCGCGGATCAAAAAAGTGTCGCCCTGGCGGCGCAACTCCAGAGGGTGTGGGGGGTGCTCTTTCGGTCCAGAAGATCTCCTTGCAGGCGCCCGGCGCGTCCTCCCCCGACAGCCCAACAGGAGTCCTGCGTACCATGGGCACGGACGGGGAGGAGGAGGAGGAGGAGGAGGAGGAGGAGGAGGAGGAGGAGGAGGAGGAGGAGGAGTGCAGGAGTGTAGGCCTCGCGACGCCGTCCGCTGGCCGAACAGCGCGCGGCGGGGCCCTCAGACGACGACCGCGGGGATTCCAGGATGAACGCCAGCGGGCCCATCAGGCCAAACACCAGCGAGCTCACGGAGCCCAGGAGGACGGCGGCGGCGAGGGCCTCGGAGGGGAGCAACCCAGCACCTTTGCAAGGGTCAGCACTCGGCCAATGCCGATCCCTACCCACGTTGGTCCCACGCGCGAACGCGCACCTCGCCCGCTGGCAGCACGCGAGAACCCAGCCCACCTCGCGCACACACACACACACACACACACACACACACGGGCGTGCTTCCGGGCCGCGGTCCTGGCCGACCTGCCGCACGCGCGCTGCCATCCGCTGGCCGACGCGCTCCCCGGCGAAGTGCCCTCGTCTTGGAGCGCCTGCCCAGCATCGGCCTCTTGAGCCGCGAGCGCAGGTTGGACAACTATGTCCGCTCGTTGCGACCCTCGGCCGTGAGAAGCGCGAGGCACGGCACCTGCAGGGCTCGAGGAGGTCCCGACGCCAGATCAGGCCACGCACCATTCGCAGAAGACGGTGGGCCCAGCGCGCCGCAGCCGATGCGCGTAGACTTCCACGCGGCCGTCGCCCAAGGCCCAGCGTTTGGCCACCAGCTCCTCGAGGTCGCCAGGATCCCCGAGGCACGGCGCAGCGTCGAGGGCCTCCATGACAAGCTGGCCAGCAGCTGAGCCGAACATCGCCGCCACGCAGACGTGCTGGACAACCGCCTCCGCCTTCAGCTGCGAAACTTCGGTGTCCTCGCAGGCGGACCGCAGTAACTGCGCCCGGGTGGGCCCTTCCAGCTTGTCCGTCGACCTGCATCAGCACTGGCCGACAGCCTGGCCAGTGCACAGGCGCACCAGCTGATGGCGCACGATCGCCAACGCAGGAGTCTCCTCAGGCTCCCTGCACGGCTCGAATCGGTCGGCGGGCTTCCACTTCAAGACCTTCACCGCGCTGCATGGCCCACCCGACGTAGGCCGCCACATTTTTGTGGTAGTGGACCTGCACCTTGTAGACGTCCTGGTAGACCTTCCACACAATGTGGAGGAGGAGGTGGAAGAGGAGAAGGGGGAGGAGGAGGAGGAGGAGGAGGAGGAGGAGGAGGAGGAGGAGGAGGAGGAGGAGGAGGAGGAGGAGAGGAGGAGGAGGAGGAGGAGGAGGAGGAGGGGGGGGGGGGGGAGAGGAGAGGAGAGGGGACGAGGAGAAGAAAGAGAAAGAAGAAGGGGAGGAAAGGAGAAAGGGAGGGCAAGCTAGGCGCGCTCGCGCTGGCTCTGGTGTTTCTCTAACCGCGAACGGGTGTTATAGCGAACCTGGAAGACTGGAAGACCCAAAAGGACCCCATTGTGTTACGCGCAATCTGCAAATGGGGAGCTGTATACATTGGAGGAGGCGCGGATGAGCAGGAGGCCGAGCAGGAGGAAGAGGAGAGGCATGAAGGAGGAGCAGGACCAGGGAGAAACTGCGGCGGCAGGAGCAGGAGGAGCGGGAGGAGCGGGAGGACCAGGGGGGCGAGCGGAGGAGGGGACAGGAAGAGGGGGCGACCACGACGCGGAAGCGCTCGAGGCCAGAAGCGTGGCCCGCGCCGGGGCGAGGGCACCACTCGGAACGACGGGAGCAGAGCGCCGATCCTACAACGAGGCCACCGCTGCAGCACACACTCACACAGGGCCGCGCCTGGAGGGCGCATCGGCAAGAAGACTGGCCACGTGAAAAACACACGTGCATCAGAACGGGATTCGTGCACACGCGCCCCTGCAAGCGCTGCTGCAGCAGGGGGCACAAGTTTGAAAAAGGACCGAAAACGTTCGGATGGGAAACGGCGCATCAGAAGGCGTCCTGCGTGCAACACTCTTCAGATATCTTCGGGGGAGGGAGGAAGGATAGTGGTGCTCAGGATCCCCAGAACAGTGTGTTGCAGTTGGGGTTCTTCGCTCCACCTCATAAGATTTATGATGTGGAACGAACGAGCGAACGATCGCCGGGGTCGTGCGTGCTCCTCTGGGGAGCACGCCCATGCCCATTCAGGCATGGCGTGGAGGCCGTGGTCTCGCCACGAAAATCTTCTGTGAAAAACGTATGCCCGCTCACATGATGACCACCACTCCGTGACCACAGCGGCCCGGATCCATCGCAGGTCGTTCGTGCTATTGTGCTCGTAGTGTCTAGGTTGGGCGGCTGCCCTGATTTGCTGCTCCCCTGCGCCGCTGCCCAACCTGTGCAGGAAACTCCGGACATCGTCGTCCCACCGCTCTGGCTGTCCCCCGTGCCGCCGTCGTCCGGCGAGGAGTTGTCCAGCGAGGACTTCCACGTTGCCGCACGTGGCCGACTCGTGGCCGCCTCGCGCGCCGGGTGGGTCCGACGAGGCTTCGCCGCGTTGCCGCCCGTGGTCGTGCACTGGGCGGGTCCGGCGAGGCTTCGCCACGCTGCATCCTCGTCGCCGCCGCTAACTTCCATCATGTTTACTGCACCACATAGCTTGCACCACACAGCTTGCACCACACAGAGAACGTTTTCTGATTCTGCGTTTCGACTTCTTGGGCGGAAGGGTAGGGGAGAGGAGGGATCTGGCTCCGGACCTCTTCATGCGACTGTTTGAAACTGTGCATCCTATGGGGGAGACTCCACCTGCTCGAAACAGGCGCCCAAAACAGCCAAGATCTGCTCCATAGGGGGGGAGGGGGTGCGAGGGCCCGCGCCGATCGGCAAACCAATGAATGAGACAACGATCACATAGCTCACCCATCCACAGTGAACCCATCAACCGCTTGGGGTCCACGCTGGCTAATGTGCAGCTGTGGAGGGGGACGAGAGCCGCGGAGGCCGCCCACCTCGACGTGGGCGTGCCAGTCCTTCACGGCCTCGTTGCAGTCGACGCCTCGGCAAGCGGCTTCTCGTCAGCGCGCGCGCGCTGCGACGCCGTCACAACTCCGACTCGACCTTCCCTCTCCTACCCTCGAAGAGGACGGGGTGCACGAGGAGGAGGAGGGCCCCTCTGCCTAACGTTCTTTCACTGTCTCGCCTTCCTGATCCTTCGCGGTTGAGCTACTAAGGCCACCTCGCCTGAGTCGGACGCTCCAGCTAATACTTGCTGGAGTTCGTGCAACACATGGAAAATTAAGGACGACAACGTTAACAAAGGAGAAAAGGTTTTTGAGGGCTTCAAGGACATTCAGTGGGCTCTTTGGATCCTGGGAAGCTCAGCAAAGCCACAGGGGAGTCCTGGGACCCCCGCTTCCCCCACCTCCTCCTCCTCCTCCTCCTCCTCCTCCTCCTCGTCCTCCTCCTCGTCCTCCTCCTCCTCGTCCTCCTCGTCCTCCTCCTCCACATTAACAGCAGCAGCAGCAGCAGAAGCATCATCATCATCATCATCATCATCATCATCATCATCATCATCATCATCATCATCATCAGCATCATCATCATCATCATCATCACCATCATCATCATCATCATCATCAGCAGCAGCAGCACCACCACCACGAGCAGCATCATCATCATCATCAGCATCATCAGCATCATCAGCATCAGCATCAGCATCCTAATCCTCATCCTCATCCTCATCGTCATCGTCATCGTCATCCTTATCCTTATCCTCATCCTCATCCTCATCCTCATCCTCATCCTCATCCTCATCCTCATCATCATCATCATCATCATCATCATCATCATCATCATCATCACGATCATCATCATCATCATCATCATCATCCTCATCATCATCATCACGATCATCATCATCATCATCATCATCATCATCATCATCATCATCATCATCATCATCATCACGATCATCATCATCATCATCATCATCATCATCATCATCATCATCATCATCATCATCATCATCAGCAGCATCAACTCGCAAACTTGTCATGCCATCCCCCCTCCCCTCCACGTCTGCACATCAGATGCGCGCAGTGACGACCTGCGCGTTGGCGCCCGACACCGCGCGGCTCCTTCCACAACCCGGCACGGCCGCACCTCCCTGCCATAGTTAGAGCAGATCGCTCGACACCGGCCGACTCCAGGCCACTGGCGGCGCTGGCTCTCCGCCAGTTACGACAACGACGACGACGACGACGACGACGACGGCGACGACAGCGACGACGGCGACGACGGCGACGGCGACGACGACGACGACGGCGACGACGGCGACGACGCGAAGGCCGCCGCCGCGCACCAACCTGCCGTGGAGAAGGCCCCGCGGGCCTGGCTTCTGCGCCCCCGCGGCCCGACTTCGGCCCCGGGTCGCCTGCAGTGACGGCGTCCGGGTTGGTGGTGGTGTAGACGTGGTCGTCGTCCATGAGGCACGGAGGCACCTCGGGGCGCGCTCTCCGCGGAGGCGGCCACGAGGCACGCGCCCGCGGGGGGGCCAAGAGAAGGAAGCGGGGACGGTGCCCAGCGGTGGGAAGAAGTGGGGGGCGGTGCCCGGCAGTGGAGGCCTCCCAAATGGGGTGCGAGCAGACAGGGTCAGAGGATCGCGCCGCATCGACGATGCATCGGCGGCTGTTAGCGTGGAGAGGCTCGAGCCCCGCATCGATCCCCGAACCGCTGCTGCATCAGCGACGCGGCACAGTCATCCTCCGACCCGCTCTGCTCGGACCCCATTTTGGACAAGCGCGTGCCACTACTTTTACGAGTAGCTACTCGCAGATGACCTGGATCTGCCACGAGGGAGTCACGATACATTACGTAGAGGAGGAAATGCTTTTTTCGGACGTTTGCGAGCAGACATTCTGCGAGTAGTGCAACGCGCTCGGTGAGCAGCCATCCTCCGACCCGCTCTGCTCGGACCCCATGTGGGCAACCCTGAAACAGCGAATGCCACCCCAGAGCAGACGGCGGCCGCCGCCGGGCAAGCGTGAAGGGGCCCCAGGACACACAAAGAAAAATACGCCCCATCTTTTCCCATCTTTTCTGGGCTCTGGTCTTCCCGCCCACTTCCCATACGTTCCCCATGATTTCCTGGGGATCGAGGATTCATTGTGTCTGTGTGTTTCTTTCCCTCCTGACCCCTGTGGGCAACCCTGAAGCAGCGAATGCCACCCCAGAGCAGACGGCGGCCGCCGCCGGGCAAGCGGCGCCCGCCCTGGAGCGGCCGCGCCCGAGCGGCAAAAAACCCGGCGGCGGGCCCGACGATGCAGGCAAGGAAAGCACCAGCACGGCCAATCACGACCAGAGCCCTAGCAACTGCCAGCCTCGCACGTATCCCTATCCCTGAGATTGGCACGCCAAAAGGCGATGCCAATCTTAGGGATGCGCCCTCAAAAAATAAGGGAATCCCCAAGATTGGCATCGTGATGAGGAGGTGCCCAGCATAGGGATAGGGATGTGTTCCAGGCTGGTAAATCAGGACCAGAGCACTAGCAAGGATCGACCGAGGCACTCTATTTCGTTCTCGCTTTGTGTTCGACCCGCCTTCGCGGCAGCACAGCGTCGGAACGAAAACGGCCCCATCGCCACAACACCGTTGAGGTCGACCCCCGAGGCCTAGACCTCGTCCAGAAGAGCGCGTTCCACTACTCGCAAAGTAACTACTCGCAAATGGCCTGGATCCACCGCGGGGGATCTACGACAAATCACATCGAAGCAGACATGTGTTTATCGGACGTTTGCGAGTAGGCTTAAGTCGGGCCTGTCCCCCTACAAGGGGATTTTCGACGAAAAATAGAAATACCCGAAAAATAGTCAAACAATAATCCAAACATAGTCTGGGGACTATTTTGGGAGTATGTTTGTTACCTTTTTGGTGCATTTTTGGGGTAGTTTTGATTCTTCGTCGGAAATCCCCCTGCAGGGGGGAAACGCCCGACATAAGAGTAGGCACTTTGCGAGCAGCGGAACGCGCTCGGCGATCGTCTTCGCGCGGCATCGCTCGATGCCGGACCGACGCGCGATGGCCACGGGGCCCGACGCCGTGGGAGAGCCCCCAGCGAGCAAGAACCTGCAGCGCCGAGGTCCCAGGGCGGAGCGCGGGCAGGAGAGGCTGCTGGCCTTCGTTCACCTGCTGGCCTCTCGTCCTCCGCCTCCGCCTCCTCCTCCTCCGCCTCCGCCTCCGCCTCCCACCTCCCCCCTCCTCCTCCTCCTCCTCCTCCTCCTCCTCCTCCTTCCTCCTCCTCCCCGCCTCCTCCGCCTCCGCCTCCGCTCCTCCTCCTCCTCCTCCTCCTCCTCCTCCTCCTCCTTCTCCTCCTCCTCCTCCTCCTCCTCCTCCTCCTCCTCCTCCTCCTCCTCCTCCTCCTCCTCCTCCTCCTCCTCCTCCTCCTCCTCCTCTTCGATCGCGCTGGCAAGACGACGCCGGGACGAGGGCAGAGTCGGGGGAGGGCCGCTCGAGCACTGAGATCTGGCGGCTCTGGATGGTGTCTCGGGCGCCGCGGCCTTGACAGAGCGGTCGGGAACACTACAGTGGAGGCCAGTCCACAAGAGACCTTCCACAAAAAACCCAACCCTGAGAGACACCAGGACGCCCGCTGATTTTGGGCGTGGGAGCGTCACGCCTTCCATCGAACAACCATCGCAGCCCAGGAAACCCAGGGCACCCTGGACGCGAGCAGGGTGCTTCTTGGCAGGGGTCTCCACTGCATGCGAGTGATCCGGAACGCTCTGGAACGGAGTTCCCCGCGCCGAATAGCCCCGCCCGAGCCGGGCCGAGGCGCGGGGGGCGCGGCGCGAGCCTGTAGGGGGGCAGGCCAGTCAAGGCTCGGGGTGTCCGATGCCCCTCGGAGTCCTCATGCCCGCCCCCCTCCCCAGGGGGGGTCTCGGGGCTCATCATCCTCTCGGCGCCACCAGCCTGCCCCCCGGAAGGGGAATGATTAGAGAACCCCCCGAGGCCCCAAGGACTGGGGTGATCACGGCAGGCTCGTGCCCGGGATTCGAGCCCGGCGAGGCTGGATTCGGCGGGATTCAGCGGAAGTAGTCGTCCGACCGGAGCAATCAAAAAAGAACCCCTAACCCTTTGGGAGGGGACCTAAGCTGGGAGGGCCATGAGCGATAGGGACAGGGGGTCTGTTCTGCAGACTTATCGAGCCAAGCCGCTCAGAACGATCATCCCTGATACAACGACTGGGACCTCAGTGAGGCCACGTCTTCACTACGTTATCAGGGTTGGGGGTCCATTTTCTCCTCGATGATGAATCGTCCAACCTTGAACGATCGGCGGCTTCTCCATCGCCAGATCGTTTCAGATTGGCCGACTCTGGGCCACTGGCGGCGTGCAGCCTTGAAGCCCGCAGCGGGGCCGCCGACGCGCCGTCGTACGGCGCGAAGCTGCCGCAGTAGGCCGGACAACGGGGCCAAAATTTCCCCAGTGGGAAAGGGAGACTCAGGTCCGGCGCTTCCTCCCAAAGGCGGTTTCTGGCAGAAACATAGGTAGTCCACAAATTTCCAGAAATGGTCGAAAGATCGTCCCCCGACCATTTTTTGACTATTTGTGAAGACTCCTCCTGTAGACCTGCCCGACTGAAGAGTAGATCGAACGATATGCTGAACCCCGCCGCCGAGTGGACCCGCAGGGGCAGGCCTCGAGAGCGGTCGCAGACGCTGCCAGTGGCGGGCGTGCGCAGCGCTTCGGGCGGCCCGCCTCTCTCATCGCCAGACTCGTCGACCCCTGGCCCGTCCACCGGAGCCGCTTAATGCGACGCGGGCAGCGCAACGATGGCCGACACAAGCTGCGTGGTAGCGGTGGACCGTCAGGAGGCAACTACTGGGAGGTCTTCGTCGGAAGGGTTAGGGAGAATTGAGCCCCATTGGGGGCTTCTAACGCGGAATTGGGCCGCGGAGCAAGGGGGACCAAGCCGGATCAAGCGCGATTAAGCCGGATTAAGCGGAATTAACCCGGATTAGGCCGGATCTCGGACCAGGGCGAGGTCAGAATTCGACCTCCCAGGAGTTGCACGCGAAGAAGCGGACCAGAGTAAACACACACACACACACGAGGCTGACACACGCCCAGAAGATCGTCGCCCTTCCCTGGGGGGTCCCACTCTGTGACGGTCCCGGCGCCCCGGAAACGGCCTCTGGACGCAGAGAAGTACGAGCAACCTTCGCCCCGATTCTCTCGAGCCGCCTGAAGGCTGGGCCCTTAGGGGATGGACAGACCTCCCTTTAGTAAAACGTGGTTTAGTGAAAACGACCTGAGGCCCAAACCTGGCGGGCGCAGGCCTGGAAAATAACGGCCACGGCGCCCTCTCGAGAACCGAAAACGGACAATTCACTAATCGACGTGCCACTGTTGGGGGTTCTGTCCAACCCCCGGGCCCTCCGAAGAGTCGCCCGAGGTCTGGCCACCGAAACTTCGACGCGTGGTGTTCCCTGTCTGGGCCGTCCACGAAGGGAGGAGGAGGAGGAGGAAGCAGGAGGAGGAGGAGGAGGCGGAGGAGGAGGAGGAGGAAAAGGAAAAAGAGGAGGAGGAGGAAGAGGAGGAGGAGGAGGAGGAGGAGGAGGAGCCGCGCCGCGGGCGGCCGGGGAGGGCACGGACTCGGAACAGCTCCTGAGGCACTTGTTCGCCGGCGCGGTGCCGCAGCGCATCGCGTAGACCTCGGCGAGCGCGCGGGGGGCGCCCTCGACCACTCGGGCTCGAGGCTCAAGCAACGCCCCCTTTGTTGAGGCCTCTTTACCAGCCTCGAACTTATCCCTATCCCTAAGACTGACACGCCAAAAGGCGATGACAATCTTAGGGATGCGCCCTCAAAAAATAAGGAAATCCCTAAGATTGGCATCGTGATGAGGAGATGTCCAGCATAGGGATAGGGACATGTTCCAGGCTGGTAGCCTCTGGGTGAAGCCCGAATAAACTGACCGTGCACACACGCCCAGGCTGGGGAAAGAACACCCGAGGTAGCACAGAAAGCAACAACGACAGGTTCGAGGCTCGCAGGAGAACTCGCCATCGCTCGGACGTTCATTCCGTGTGATGTTTTCGGTTTCGTGCGTGGTTTTTTCGCCAAATGATCAAGGATGCTCCTGGATGGTCTTCGCCGAGGGAAAAATCCACACGTCCGAGCGATGCCAAGACAAGCGACGCTCCCATTGTTGAGGCCTGCGGGTGGAGCCCGAGAACTGACCGTGCACAGGCGCCCCGGCTGGGGAGAGAGCACCCGAGATGGCACAGGAAAGCAACAGCGACAGGTTCGAGGCTCGCAGGAGAACTCGCCATCGCTCGGACGTTCATTCCGTGTGATGTTTTCGGTTTCGTGCGTGGTTTTTTCGCCAAATGATCAAGGATGCTCCTGGATGGTCTTCGCCGAGGGAAAAATCCACACGTCCGAGCGATGCCAAGACAAGCGACGCTCCCATTGTTGAGGCCTCTGGGCGAAGCCCGAAAACTGACCGCGCACACACACACGCCCAGGCTGGGGAAAGAGCACCCGAGATAGCACAGAAAGCAACAAGGACAGGTTCGAGACTCGCAGGAGAAAAAAGCGGAGAATCGCCGCATCGTCCGGCCGCTGTCTATTTTCCGTTCGCTTATCTGATTATTCAGGAAATGAGGGAGGTTAGGCACTGAGGGCGACCAGAATACAAACGTATGAAGGGCAGGAGTAGGGCGGGCAGAAGCAAACGACATCACAAGGAGGAGGCAGAGGACGGCGTGGAAGGCGAGAAGGAAAGACATGCAAGAGACCTCCCGCAAGGACCGCTAAGAGGCCTCCAAAAAGCTCCAAGAGGACACAAAGAAGCTCTCAATTGACATCCGAAGAAACCACGAGAGGCATACAAGAGGCCTCCCTCCTCCTCCTCCTCCTCCGATTCCTCCTCCGTCCTCTTCCTCTGGGGTATGACGGCATCCCTGGCTCTTTTCTCCACTGCATGTTCCTCCACATCCCTGATCAGGGCAACTCCACTGGGACTCGCTTCTGGATTGTAGGCTGGTGGGGCACTCTCTCGTGTCTGCTAATTTCACAACTAGCACCAGTCTCGCACGTGAGCCCAGCGAGTTTCACGTAGTATGACGGCTGAAAAGAAAGTTTGGTGGCAACTCATGGGAGCCCCACGTGCCATCTTGTCGGCTCTTGCGAATCGGCGCTAATCGACGCTAGTCGACTCTAAATCGACGCTAATCAACGCTAAACCAGACATATATATCATCGACTCCCAGACGCTAATCGACGCTAGTCGACGCCAAAGACGGAACGAAGAGGGAATCCGAGGCTCCCGTGAGTTGCTACCGAAAGATTGCACGAAGGAACGATACAAAAACAGTTTCTGCCGTTGGGCCATGTTCTGAGAGCGACGACCACATACAGTGGCGGTCAGTCCAGAACTAACCTTCCACAGGAAAACCACCCCTGAGACCCCAGGGCGTCCATGGATTTTGGGGGTGGGAACGTCGCGCTTCCCTTCGCAAAACCATCAGTATCCAAGAAGCCCAGGGCACCCTGGAGGCAAGCAGGGTGTTTCTTGGCACGGGTCCCCACTGTGTTTTGGAAGCGACAGCCACACACACACACTCTCAGAGACGACGACGTCGCCCGCGCGCCCAGAGGGCGCTGCTGCGTGACGGTCCCCTTAAACATTTACGGCATGCCTGGATCGCCGTCCCGCGCTCGGAGGCCGGAGAGGGCGAGCGGAGACAACGGTCAGGGACGCTTGGCGGCGCGCAGAGGGGGGCACGTTCTTAGGAGGCTGCTTCTTAGAAGGCACTGGCCCTACATCTGTAGACAAGGCCCGCGCCTTCTAACAGGCAGCCGCCTTCTAAGGAGCCGCCACCCCTCCCCCCACCCCCTTTGAACGTGGCCGACACACACTGACCTGGTCAATGCATACCTGGGTCACTCTGGCCTTGCAAGATCCTTGCAAGACCCTGCAAGATCCTGCACACAAGCCCGGGTCAGTGCGCCCCTGGACCTGCAGGACCCTGCAAGATCTGGCGCTCTGAGTGACCCCATTTGCATCGACCCCGCGCGCGCGCCCCGCGGTGCGCGCACGCGGGGCAGTCTTACTAACATGCAGCACTCGCGGGCGGGGGCCCACAGCGGAAGGCCTCCGCGAGTTGTGCACGGACCCTCTTCCCCCCCAGACGCGAGACATAAGTCTCCTTCGCGGCGACGTTCGACCGCGATGCCACCCAGAGGGGGGAATACCCGTCTCTCGAGCCCCGTAACACAAGGTCAAGCTCGATCCGCTGACAACTCCCGGGGCCCAAACGCGCCACTTCCTCGAGCAGCGCCCCGCCGCAGCGACGAGGGCCCCCCGCCGAAGTCCAACGATCGGGGTCTCAGATCGCTTTCCTCTTGTCGGGCTGGGCAAAGGTAGGCGGCGAGCCAGGGGAGAAGTGAGAAGGGGCGCACCTTCTCAGAAGGCTCGGAAATCCCCCGGACTTCTGAGAAGTTTTCTAAACCTTCCCCGAAGACAGAAAAAAAACTTCTCAGAAGGCGCGAGGGTTTCTGAGAAGCCCCGCCGCCTTCTGAGAAGGCCTTTTCCTTCTCAATTCACCCCCTCGCTCGCCGCCGAAAGGGGGGGGATAGCAAGGGGGGGGGGAGAATCAGCTCACGTAGCTGATTTTCCTGGGGGCCCCTGGCGCCGGGAGGCGCCCACGTATCGAGGAACGGGCCCGGCGGCGGGGCCTTTTCCCTATCTCTCCGTTCGTTCGGCCCGATTTTGGGCGGGGGGGAGAGCGAACCGCGCCACGGGGAAGACAGCTGACAACTCTGATGGGGAACGATACAGTTCAAATTGATACCATGGATGCGCGATAAGGATGCAAACCCCTTGGGCGCTTATGTAAAAGTTTTTCGAACGGGGTTGGCCGCCATCGCAAGTGGTCAAGGAAGTACCGAAATGGCAAAGATGCAAAAGTACACATTGCAACAACTACCACCCTTTTGTCATCGGTTTCGACTGTTGGGGGGAACCGACCCACGGCGGAAACATTGGCGCGCCGGGCGGTACATCGCCGATGAATCGGCGATTGGCCCCTCGGTAACGAAACTGCGCGGACCTGGGTGGGGTGAACCATCAAAGCCATCGGGGGCCCCTGTCGGCGGTAAGTGGGCGATTGGAGGTCCGGGGACGCGCAAACATGGATGAGCGATCCATGGATTTGGCGCGCGGTCGCCAAATCCATGGATCGGGGGAGGTCCCCCCCCAAAAAATGCGACCGGTGCCGCCCCGCTCGGCGGCAGGAACCCACGATTTCCCATGGAAACGGGACCCGTCGCTAATCCACGCCCCCTTTTCATCGATGTTTGCGATCGCCTGACTGATGTAACTCCCCCCGAGCCCATTCCCCCCAAAACGTTGCCCCCGAAGCTCTGCGAACGCCGCGCCAGGCCGCGGCGCGAACCCCGGGGGCCCAGAGGACCCCCCGACGCCCGCGCCAACCCGCGCCGGGGGGCGACGCGAGCCTGCCGCAGGCCGATGGACACAGACAGACAGACGGACAGACGGACAGACGGACAGACAGACTCTCTCTCTCGGGCTCCCACGTCGCTGGGGCGCCCCCCAGTCACGCCTCCCGGGCGCGCCCAAGCCGCGCCTGGGGACGAGGGCCACGGCGCGGAGAAAACACAGACAGACAGACAGACAGGCAGACAGGCAGGCAGACAGACATGCAGACAGACAAACAGACAGGCAGACACGGACTGACACCCAATGTCGGGCGGCGCCCGGCCCTGCGCGGGGCATGGGTGGGTGGCACCGCAGCGTCGCAGACTGGACTCGTCCACGACAGCTCCACACGCAGGAGCTGCCCTCGAGGCGTCTCCACAGCTCCGTGTGGCCAGCACAGGCAGCCCAGTCCCGTTCAGGGGCGCCGGGCTCCGCAGCAGAATGAGGCGGGCGCGCTCGGCGGGGAAACGAGAAGCGGCGCGCCTTCTCGGAAGGCTCGGTGGTGCCCCGGACTCCTGAGAATGACTACCTACCAGACCACCCCAACCCAACCCGAAGACCCGAATTTCGGATTGGCGGGGGTATGGGCTCCATATGTGTTTTTGTCGATGTTCCCGGACCCCCCCCCCACTAGAAATCGAGGGTAAATCTGAGCCTTCGGGTTGGGTTGGGGTGGTTTGGTGGGTGGTGAGAGCAGCTGTCTGAGCCGTCCCCGCGAAGAAGGCTCCTCTCGGAAGGCGCGGGGGCTTCTGAGAGGCCCCGCCGCCCTCCGAGAAGGCCTCCTCCGGCTCACCTCCTCCCCTCGCTCGCCGCGGAGCAGGGGCCTCCTGCACGAGTCGGGGATGGACAAACCCCCCTTTAGCAAAACGTGGCTTAGTGATAACGACCTGAGGCCCAAACCCGGCGGGCGCAGGCCCGGAAAATGACGGCCACGGCGCCCTCTCGAGAACCGAAGACGGACAATTCACCAATCGGCGTGTCACTGTTGGGGGTCCTGTCCGCCCCCGGAGGAGTCCCGCACAGACGGGGCCCGTACACGGCAAAGCCCGCGCAAAACCGCTCGGAGACGGCGCGAGCCCGCCGCCGGCTGGGGGGCACGGAGAGGTCGCCTCCGCGGCACCGGCCCTGCAGACGTGCCGCGGCGGATCTCTGCGCGGATTGACGAACGAACACTGCACATCGAGCCGCATCGCCGATGGATGGGCGATGCGGCGATCCTCCGACCCATCAACTCGGACCCCATTTTGAAGGCCTAGAGTGCGAGGCGGGGATGTATCCATATTCACCGCCTGGGAACCGACCTGGTGCCCCAGCGGGCGGTGGATATGGACATATTGTGGCCCCCAGGTGCACGAATATATCCATATCCACCGGCCCCCCGAGGTCCCCGAAAACTGCTTCTCCAGGCGGTGGTCTTGTATAGACTCCCGCCCCGGATAGAGGACAGCAACCGCCTGCCGCACACAGCGGCCCAGAGAGCATCCGCAGCCGGCTCACTACCTCGGCGGAGGAGGAGGAGGGGGAAGAGGAGGAGGTGGAGGACGAGGAGGAGGAGGAGGAGGAGGAGGAGGAGGAGGGGGAGGGAGGAGGAGGGAGGGGGAGGGAAGAGGAGGGAGCCCAAAGATAGGGGAGCTAGGAGTGACATTACCATAAAAACTCAAAGGTCCGCGCGGATTCCTCGGATCAGCGCTGGACCCCCCTGGCGGCGCCTCCGGCGCCGCCCCTGGCGCGCTCCTCGCGCCAGAGAGGGGGGTGCAGCGCCGATCCGAGAGATCTGCGCGGACCTCCAAGTTTTTATGTTTATGTCATTCTTCGTCCCCCTGAAAGATACCTGCAAGGATGCTGACCTAGAACGACCGAGGAGACCTGCAAGGACGTTTCCTTGGAGCGCCACACAGCATCTGCCAGGACGCTTCCCTAGAACGCCCGCCGATGCTGGGGTCATCGTCTGGCAGCCCCTGGTGCCGACGCCAGCATCTGACCTAAATGCCGAAAACACGGAGGCTCGATGAAAGCGATGACTATCACAGGGCCGAACGCGGAAGCGTCGATGTCGATCCTAATCATCGCTCAGCTCGGTCGTGATCTCTTCGTGGACCACCCGTGCGAATCGACGGCGGCGGGCATGGACCATGACCAAGATCGGAGTCGACGAGACCCCGCGACATCATGGACGAGATCCCGCGACATGCTTGGCCGTGGTAATCCTGTTTCTTCCCCCCATCACAGGAGAACCCAGAATCGAATCGACAAATCGGATCGGCTATCGATATGAATCGGGTCGGCGGAAATCGGCAACCAAGTCGGGAGATGTCGAATCGGCGGACATCGGCGGGCTACTAGGCCTCCATTGAAAGATCGGGGTTCAAATCGGAATCCGAGGTCGAATCGAACCGGAATCGGGATACATCGAAATCCAAGCGAATCGAATCGGAGGAATCGAAAGCCCTCGCCTGCCTCTATGCCCCCCGCCAGGAGGCGGCGGCGCGGGCGGGTGGCGCGTCGCCTGCGACTTGCAGCAGGCGTTGGTCGAGTTCTGGCCGCGGACCTCCCCATCCCAAGGGGGCGGCGGGGAACGCCTCTTCCTCGTCCTCCTTCCCCTTCTCACCTCCTCCCAAAATCCTCCTCCTCCTCCTCCTCCTCCTCCTCCTCCTCCTCCTCCTCCTCCTCCTCCTCCTCCTCCTCCTCCTCCTCCTCCTCCTCGTCGTGACCATCATCACATCATCATCACCATCATCATCATCATCATCATCATCATCATCATCATCATCATCATCATCATCATCATCATGATCATCATCATCACCACCATCATCATCATCATCATCAGCATCACCAGCAGCATCATCAACATCATCAGCAACATCATCATCAGCATCATCATCATCAGCAGCAGCAGCAACAGCGACAGCATCAACATCATCAACATCACCATCATCATCAGCAGCAGCATCAGCATCGGCATCAGCATCAGCAACAGCATCAGCATCATCATCAGCAGCATCATCATCACCGTCAGCATCATCATCATCATCATCATCATCATCATCTTAATCAGCAACATCATCCTCATCCTCATCATCATCATCATCAACATCATCATCAGCATCATCATCGGCAGCAACATCACCATCAACATCATCAGCATCAGCATCATCATCATCATCAGCATCATCATAACCAGCAGCATCAGCATCAGCATCAGCAGCAGCATCATCATCAGCATCATCATCAGCCTCACCATCATCATCAGTTGCAGTATCATCATCCTCATCATCAACACCGTCAGCAGCATCATCTCCATCGTCATCATCATCACCGTCAGCATCACCATCAACATCATCATCAACGTCAGCATCAACATCATCACCATCATCATCAGCATCATCATCAGCAGCAGCGGCAGCATCATCAGCAACATTCTCAGCATCATCGTTATCATCATCAGCATCAGCAGCACCAGCATCATCCTCATCAACACCGTCAGCAGCAGCATCATCATCAGCATCATCATCATCATCACCATCAGCATCACCATCAACATCATAACCATCATGAGCATAATCAGCATCACCATCACCATCATCAGCAGCAACAGCGACAGCAACATCAGCAAACGTACCAGCTTCATAATCATCATCATCATCATCATCATCATCATCAGCATCATCAGCATCAACATCATACATAACATCAGCATCATAATCATCATCATCATCATCATCATCATCATCAGCATCATCATCAGAATCAGCAGCATCATCATGTGCATCAGCATCAGCAACATCAACATCATCAGCATCAGCATCAGCAGCATCAGCATCAGCAGCATCAGCATCGCCATCATCATCATCATCAGCATCAGCATCATCATCAACATCATCATCTTCATTAGCAGCAGGATCACCATCACCATCATCAGCATCAGCATCATCAGCATCATCATAATCAGCAACATCATCCGCGTCAGCAGCATCATCGTCATCGTCGGCCGCATCATCATCATCATCATCAGCAGCAGCAGCATCATCAACATCATCCTCATCATCAACACCGTCAGCAGCATCATCAGCATCATCATCACCATCAGCATCACCATCAACATCATCAAGAGCAGCAGCGGCAGCATCATCAGCATCATCATCAGCATAATCGTTATCATCATCAGCAGCACCAGCATCATATCATCAACACCGTTAGCAGCAGTGTCATCAGCATCATCATCATCATCATCATCATCATCATCATCATCAGCATCACCATCAACATCATCACCCTGAGCATCACCATCATCACCATCACCATCATCAGCAGCAACAGCGGCAGCATCATCAGCAACGGTACCAGCATCATAATCATCATCATCAGCATCATCAGCATCAGCAGCATAAGCATCATCAGCATCACCATCATCATCAGCAGCATCACCATCATCATCATCAGCATCGTCATCATCATCAGCAGCATCAGATATCATCATCACCATCACCATAAACAGCATCATCACCATCACCATCAACAACCTCATCATCATCAGCATCATCAGTATCATCCTCATCATCGCCATCGCCATCGACATCGTCATCGACCTGTCCATCCTCATCCTCATTCTCTCCTGCTCTCTCTCCCTCTCCCTCTTTCTCTCTCCGTCTCTGCCGTCCTTCCCTCCTCGCCGCGCGACTGCCTCCTCGCCTGGGCCATTCCCGCTCGGGCTCGGCGGCCTCAGCCCAGGGGGCAAGCCGCCCCCCCTTCCACATCCACAGCTTCCTCCTTCGCATCCTCATCCCATTGATCCTCTTACTATGGTTGTGATGTCCATGCTGGCTACCGTTCTCATCAGCATGCTTGTGGTTCTTCTTGTTCCCCACCCCGCGGGTAGGGGTCGTTAGATTTTCAGAACAGGCCTCCCTACACCGCCCAGCGGCCGCCAGCTCCCCAGATCCACCGAGCGGCCCCGAGGCCCCCACCCCTCCAGACCCGACCCGCCCCTTGTCCGCACACCGCGGCAGCCAGACTTCCCCGGGTCCACCGAGAGGCCCCGAGGCTCCCGCCCAGGCAGACCCCACTCGCCCACGAGGTCCACCGAGCATTCCCCAGATTCGCACCCCTGTGGGCATGGCAGAACACGTCCAGCAGCACAGAGGATGCCAGAACGCAGCACGGCAGAACACAGCACACTGACCGAACATATCACGGCATCACAGAGCATTGGCATAACACAGCACCACACAGCAGGGCGTGCAATTGCATAACCAAGCATGGCATGACATGGTGGTCACAGGGAACACATCATGAACGCATACAGCGTAACATGGCAGCGCAAGGCACAACATGACATAACATAGCCTAACCCGCCATGACATATCACGAAAGGACAGGCCATAACCGAACACAGCGTCAACTAACAGATCACATGACAGCAGGGCACATCATATCGTGCCATAGCGCGACCTACCATACACTAGGATACCAAGGCCCATCATACCTAAAACCAAACATACCACAACACCCCATGGCATAATAGAGCATTGCACAACAAACTCATCGGGCGCGCACTATGTTGCAACGCATCGCATGGCCAAGCATAACATAATGGGGCGATACCGGTTCCGAACAGCACATACCTGATTGTGTCTACAGTGGAAACGTATAGATAGTAAGGACGCGTGGTAAGGACGCAAGACCCTTGGAGCCCGAAAAAATGTATTCTGGCCTGCGGAAATTGCTAGGAACGGGCCGCAGAGGCTGAGGCAGGCAAGGACCCAAAGGTACCCTTGAAAAAGTCGTTTGTCCTTATTATGCGCGTTGATTGTGTCTAGGAGTGCTACCGCGAACACGGCGACTGTCATCGGACACGCTGGCTGTGAAACACGTGCTCCCCGCGCGGGCCCAAGGCGATCCCACGCTCTCCCCGGGAGCTCCCAGACGTTCTCGGGCGCTCCCGCGCACTCCCGGGAGCGCCCAGACGCGCTGCCAAACCGGGGTGCAGGCGCGACCCAGGCGGCCACAGGCGCTCCCCTCCGCGTGCGGCCCCTGGCGCTCCCAGGAGCGCCCAGGCGCTGCCAGGAGCCCCAGCCGGGCGTTCCCCTGGCGGCCCCACCCACGCGCGCTCGCACGCGCTCGCCGACGCTCCCAGGAGCGCCCAAGCGCTCGCAGGCGTTCCCAGGCGCTCCCAGGAGCTCCCAGACGCTGTCAGACGCTCCCGAACGATCGTCAAACAGGGGGTGCTCTTGGGGGGGAGAGCAAAGAGGCCACGGGACGAGAGGAAAGCACGGGACAGGGAGAGGGGAGGGGGCACGCTCGGCCGGAAGAAACCAGGGGGGGGCGAAGGGGGAGGGGAATGGGGAGGGGACGAGGGGAGGAGGACAGGGAGAGGGGGGGGGGACGAGGGGAAGAGGGGAGGAGGACAGGGAGAGGAGAGGAGGACAGGGAGAGGGGGGGGGGGGGGGGCGAAGGGGGAGGGGGAATGGGGAGGGGAAGAGGGGAGGAGGAGGACAGGGAGAAGGGGAACGGGGCACGGCCGGCCGGAAGAGGCCAGGGCGGGGCACGGGGCCGGGAGAGTGGAGGGGAGCACGGCCGGCCGGAATAATTTGAAGAGAAGGGGAACGAGGGGGAATCGGGGATGGACAGACCTCCCTTTAGTAAAACGTGGTTTAGTGAAAACGACCTGAGGCCCAAACCTGGCGGGCGCAAGCCTGGAAAATAACGGCCGCGGGGCCCTCTCGAGAACCGAAAACGGACAATTCACTAATCGACGTGTCACTGTTGGGGGTTCTGCCCACCCCCGAGGAAAGGAGAGAGAAGGAGAAGGGGGCGGAAGGCAGGGAGAGGAGGGCGGCACGGTCGGCTGGAATAAGACAGGGGGGGCGACGGGACAGGCACAGGGGACGGGGCAGGGACAGTCGGAATAAGTCAGGGGGGCGCAAAAAACAGGGGGGGCGGGGGCACGGTCGGTCGGGGAGAGGGTACCGGACGGGGAGAGGGTACCGGACAGGGAGAGGGGAGGGGGCACGGTCGGTCGGAATAAGCCAAGGGGGGCGACGGGGGAGGGAAATAGGGAGGGAAGGGGGGACGGAAAGCAGGGAGAGGAGGGGAGCACGGTCGGTCAGAATAAGCTAGGGGGAGGGGGGCACGGGACAGGCAGAGGGGAGGGGGCACGGTCGGTCGGAATAAGCAAGGGGGGGCACGGAGGACGGGGGTGCGGGGGCACAAGCCAGGGGGGCCTCGTGGGGGAGGGGGGCAAAAAGGCCACGGGACGGGGACAGCCTTTGACATGTCGGCACCCGTGCCAGCACAGGTGGCCGGAACAGCGCGCAGGCAGCAGGCATCCGAGCACGCAGGCCAGCAGGTGGAGAGAGGACACGCCCCGACATTCACATTCCAGGACACATGTCTTCGCACGAAGGATTGCAACAAAAAAAAAAAAAAAAAAAAAAAAAAAAAACGATTGAAAAAAAAAACCGAAGGATTGCAAGCAAAAAAACAAAAAAAAAAAAAAAACAAAAAAAAAAAACGATTGCAAACAAAAACCGAAGGATTGCAAGCAAA